ATTACATGGTGTCCATTACTATATGTAATTCTTACTTTTTTATGTATCAGCTAAATTTAGAAATGAAAAAATCACATTGCATCTCATAAGTATGTACAAATATTTTGTGTCAATCAAAAATAAAATAAAATTCAACCATGCATAGTAGTACAAGCCTGGAATCCCAGCACTAAGGAAGATGAGGCAGAAGGGTCATGAGTTCCAGGTCAGCCTGGACTACATAGGGAGAACTTGTTATAAAAAAACAATGAAGGAAGGAAAGAAGGAAAGAAAAAGAAAAGAAAATTCAAAATATAAAGAAAATAGAAATTAAAGTTGGCACAGAGCAAAGCTCAAAAGCAAGAGAGCTGTTTTTGGAGGGCAGTAGTGGCATTGAACTCAGGGCCATGCACTTGCTAGGCAGGTGCTCTACCACTTAAGTCATGCCCCCAGACTTTTCTTTCTCTATTATTCAGGCAGAGTCTTGCATTTTTGCCTTGTCTGGCTTCAGACTGCTATCCCCTACCTATGACCTCCTGGGTGGTTGGAATTACATGGGTGAGCCACCATATCAAGCTAATCAATTGAAATGGGGTTTTGCTAACATTTTCCCCAAGATGGCCTTGACCTGCCATGCTCCCAATGTCTGCCTCCTGAGTAGTTGGGATTACAGACAAGCACACTGTACCTGCCTAGTCTTTTCTTTAATGGAAACCCTGGAACAGGGAGTTATGTTACATAGCAGGCCGATGTATTTGAAAGTGCAAGCTAGTTCTGTTTTAAAGATGATCTGAACTGGAGATGATCTTTACTAGAGTGTGTGGTTGAGTGGAAGAGCAATTGCCTAGCAAACATGAAGTCCTATGGTCAATCCCTAGTATCATCATATAAATAAAAGAAAACAAGACAAAATAAAAAACACTTGTATGAGAAAGATCATAGTAGTATTGTTTGTAATAGCCAAAAAAGAAACCCAAATGTCCACCCGTTTCATACAATGGAGAAACTAAGAGGGAGAGACTTTTGTGAACTCACCGATTCATCTCCGGTGCCTTGAGTAGTTTCTGATTCTCGATAATTATATATTGAATGAAGGACTAATGAAAGTAGGCTGTAGTAAAATGTGCCAGTTCATTACGTCATTAACAGGCCAGTGTTCCAAATAAAAAACGGTTTATTTTGTAAGTTTTGAGAGACCTCAAAAGTGTCCTGATTTATATTTCTTTGAAAACTATCAACTACATAATAAAACTTCATAGGGCTCAGAGTTTGTCTGCCCTGATCTCACACAGCAAGCTACAATAGTAAGCAGATAGTGAAGAGTCCTGGGGCTATTCAGTTAAAAAGCTGCCCGTGCACTAGGCGCTGGCACTAAAAACTGAGATTAAAGTATTCTTTTCAAATAGTTCTCTAAAGGGAACATGATCTTTGTTCCTTGGATTGGTTTTGAAAAGTGAAATGCAGAATATCAACATCATTCAAAAAGTCAAGGATTTTACCACAAAAATAAAGAGGTGAGAAGATCTTTGCTGTCCAGTACAGGCACCCTTAGCCACTTGTGACCATGAAGCTGGTAAATGTAGCTGGTCCTAACTGAGATCTCCATAAAGGTAAAACACAGGCCAAGGTTTAAGGACTTAGCACAGAAAAAAGAATATATAATCACTTCTGTACATTTATGTTGATAACATGTTGAAATAATCATCTTTGGGAAAGGCTAGACTAGATAAATTAGTTTTAATGGTTTCTTTTGACTCCTTAGCATGCTAAATAGATTAAGTTGCCTATATGCTAGTTTAAATGAAAAAAATTCTAAAGAGACAAAACAAGCTGCAATGTGTGACCCTTCATTGAATCCTGGTTTAAGAAATAACAAAGGATTATTTTAAGACTGTCTCTAAGACAGGCCTGGGAGAGTGGCTCAAGTGGTAGAGTGCCAGCCTAACAAGTGTGAGGCGATGAGTTCAAACCTCAGTACTGCCAAAAAATAAATAAATAAGCTTAAAAAAATATTGAAACAATTGGAGAAGTTTGAATATGGACTAGGTACTAGAAATTATGGAGTCATTGTTAATTTTCCTAGTTATATGGCAATATATGTATAATTTAATACTTTATAACCACAATATTTATGCTTAAATATTTTTGTATATGTATTTATATAATAATTCTTTTGTTTGTATAGTTTTAAATATGTACATTTACCTATATCTATATATGTACATTTGTATATATGTAGATAGTAAAATATTAACAATTGTTGAATATAGGCAGAAGTTAAACTGCTTTTTACTACCCTGTTCTCTGTGTTAGAAATTATGTGTAACAAAAAGGTTGTGAGAATTTGGGTTGTAACACACTTGTGCACGGAACCAATGCTAGGAATCTCTCTATATAGCTATCCTTATCTCAACTAGCAAAAATGCTTTGTCTTTCTTATTGTTGCTTATGTCTTTTCTTCAACAAAATTGGAGAAAAGGGCAGAATGGGTTCTGCCTGGAAGCGAGGGGAGTGGAGGGGATATGGAGGGAATAGAGGGGAGAAATGACCCAAACAATGTATGTACATATGAATAAATGAATAAAGAAAAAAAAGTTAGAAAAAAGGTTGTGAGAAAGTTAGGCCTACCCTAAAGTCTTTTGATCATATTCAAATATCAAAATTGTATCATAGTTCAAGGGCAAACACAACAATGGGACTGGACTTTGAGCACATGATAAAAGCGAGAGCACACAAGGGAGGGGTGAGGATAGGTAAGACACCCTAAAAAATTAGCTAGCATTTGTTGCCCTTAACGCAGAGAAACTAAAGCAGATACCTTAAAAGCAACTGAGGCCAGTAGGAAAAGGGGACCAGGAACTAGAGAAAAGGTTAGATCAAAAAGAATTAACCTAGAAGGTAACGCACACGCACAGGAAATTAATGTGAGTCAACTCCCTGTATAGCTATCCTTATCTCAACTAGCAAAAACCCTTGTTCCTTCCTATTATTGCTTATACTCTCTCTACAACAAAATTAGAAATAGGGCAAAATAGTTTCTGCTGGGTATTGAAGGGGTGGGGAGGGGAGAGGGAGGGGGCGGAGTGGGTGGTAAGGGAGGGAGTAGGAGCAGGGGGGAGAAATGACCCAAGCCTTGTATGTACATATGAATAAAAAAAAAAGTCAGATGTTAAAATATAAAAAAAAATTTGTATCATAATGACAACCAGTTGGAAGAGAGCCCATAAAACTGTTAAGATGCAGAGTCAGACATTAAATAGCTATTTTTAAGTAACATTTAAATTTTATGCAAGCTTATAGACTAATTTATCTCTAAATGCATTAAAATCCCTTCAAGTCCTGACCTGTTTGCTTTGCTTTGAAGAAGCAACCCTTTGAGGTATACCACAGCCCTAAGACAACAGGTTAGAAATTGCCACCATCCCTTTGACAGTAGAAGAGTGGGTTTTCACTTTCTAGGATGGTCACCTTTAGCTATGCCTTGGGCCTCATAGTACATAAACATAGTTGGAACCACATCCATAGGCCCTACCCAAAACAATCTCTCAGATTGTTCCAGAGCTCCAATTCTCACATTCACACCTACCTCTGTGGAGCTTAATTGATGAGTTTGTAGTGAGTGCTCCTGAGCAGTTTTGCGGGGAGGCTATTAGAATGACAGGCAGAGCCAAGTTTACAACAGCACAGAAGACTGACACAGTGTATGACAAGGATTGAGAAACACTGGTTATGAAACACAAGTCAATTTTTGGTAACATATTTATTTGGAAACAAGGTACTGTAACATTGCCACATTACTTCAAAGGCTCTCAATGGCTCTTCAAACATAAAATGGCAAAGCACACAAGACACCTGCTTAAATTTCCTTAAGTGTAAGCAGGTATTTGATGGTCTTGTTTTATAGGAAATATTGTCGTGGTGCACAGCATGTGTTTGTGATACATCGGGCAGTGTTGTAACTCCTGAACAGCTCCAACTCTCCAGCCTCCAGGGGGTCATGCTGAAAGTCAATTCCAAGGGCATAGGCATAAGACCTGGTGCCCTGAAGAACACCCAGATATAGCCAGAATGCTTGGAAGATAGTGGCATCAATGTAGAAACCACATGGACAGCATACAATATCATGGCTCTCTAGGGTTGTTCCACCACTGCTGTCCATCCTGAATCACCCAACTCAGAGAGACCCTTCCTAGACAGCTTTGCCTCCGTGATTCTGCCAAACAGCCCATCCCACCTCCCCACTGCACTTCTGTCTCTCAATCCTCTTTCCCTGATAAAACACTCAGCATGGGGTCAGTTCCTTCTGCCCACCAAGCTTGCCCTGAAGCAGAGATAAGCTTGTAAGTCCCTCAAGCTCAGCCCAGGCTCATGGGAGGTACACAAAAAATACTCAGAAGAGTGCCTTTCAGCCTTATTTGACTGAAGCCCTGGACACCAATACATTTTAGGAATGCTCAGTAGATACATACAGAGGCCTCTATATAAACTAGGACAAAATTTTCATGAAAACTTAATCTTACAAGGTGAGGTGTGTGGGTATTTTCTAGTGCACTCTGCATCATTTTGAAATAAATATTCTTTTTAAGTATCAAGAACTCTTAAGTTGATTTTAAACTTAATGGACTCAACTTTTAAATTGTAGAAGCCACACACTGATGAGTTAATTGGCTTACTATAGTCGGGGCCTGCTCAGGGATACTCTATGTAGTATAGAGCAGTAGTTTAGGCCGTGTATGGTCTTGAGTTATTTCACTTTATAAAGCACCAGTTTTGACCCAAGCTACTCCATGTTAAGTATAAGTGGCCAAATAGAATGACTCTGTATCTTGTTTATACAAGTCAACAATCACGATTTGCCAGCACACCACGAGGCACAAATTGATAATGTATTTGTGCCAATAAACAGCCACATCTGCAAATATATCACATCGTATCAGAAAAACCAGACACATGAACTTTTCAGTCACATAAGAGGTAGCCCCCACACACATCTGGGACTATAAGAGAAACAGTATCCAAGACTCAGACATGGCAGGAACACTGCCATGACCCACTACCTGCTCACCCCCATGAGCCTCATCCAGGAGAATTGTCATAGTGAAGGACCTCTGACTGGGTCCCCAGGCTCCAGCTCAAGAAGTTTCTCCTGACCATGTCACATGGTCCACTTCCAACTGACACTTGGAACTGCCCACCACCTGGACTTGTATTTGACGGCTCTGTGCTCTGAACAGCTATGTGAGTACAGTTCATGAAACTTCTTATTTGGACCCTAACAGAGACTTTCCCTTGTGTCTGTATCAGTTCTTTGCCTGTGCTTCCAACATAGCATTCTGAACTCTGAAGTCTCTTTAAATCCTTCTGTAGCCATTCTACAACATATAGCATATATATATAACAATTATATATATATATATATATATACATATATAATTATGTGAAGTAATGTGTGGTTCGAGAGTTAATTACTAAGATTGGAATAAAAGAAGCTGTGTGCCACTGGCCCTAGCTATCAAGTGGCCTCAGTAGTACTTGGCAAATTAGAAGCAATGAAATTGACATAGCATGTGGATTTATTACTATTCAATAAATTCTGACATTGTGGAAAGACATAGTGTGTCTGTCTATATTTCTGACATAGCTTGCTCACAACATAACAGTTTGCACAGTGGAAAAATAATCTTTAGACAAATAGGTTTTCTTGAGTTCTGTTATACCGTTCTCCCTCAGTGTCCTCAGAGGACTGATTCCAGGACCCCTACAAATATCAAAATCCTCAGACGCTCAAACCCCTTATATAAAGTCTTGTAGTATTTGAATATAGCCCCTGCATAGCCTCCCATATGCTTTAAATCATCTCTAGATTACGTTAACACCTAATGCAATATAAATACTATGGAAATAGTTGTTATGCTTTCTTTAGAAAATAATACAAAGAAAAATCAGTACTTTCTCAGTACAGATTCAATTTTTTTAAAATATTTTCAATTCATGATTAGTTTAATTCATCAATGCAGAAATGTGGATACAAACTGTATCTATTGCTAGTCTAATATATCTAGGAAAGACTCATGGTTGTTTCATAGATTTCTGACTATTTACTGCCCACCTAAGAAGCATGGTTATGTTGGCCTACATGTTATTTCTTCCACTCTGTCAGATTCTTTATGCTCTCAGTCCTTGAGCCAATACTGAGGAAGAAAGTGGAAAGGAATCTTTGCCCTACCATTCAGTTGAGTTGGAAATTGAGTCATTCTTCTTAGACCCAAGATTTGGAGGCCTGGCTTCAATTCTGGGCTGCCATTTTTATCCTTCTTATCCCACCCAAGACCTGGGTGCCCAAGCAGCCAGAGAGAGCTACCTAAGTTCCTGCATAGCTACACTGCCCAGATCCTCTGCTCTTTTTTAGACCTGGGATCCTGCTCTGAACCCCAAGACACATTGGCACCTCAGGAATCCAGCTTGATCTTGCCAGCCCTCCTGCCTTTTCCACCCTGAGCCAATTATTGATCTGTGCTTAATGGGTCCCTGGCATGGCGCTGTGCTGGGATGGAGCAGGGAGCAAGACTTTCCTGCAGTCATCTCTCTTGGGGAAGTCCTGCTGTTGGTCAGGATGTGGACTTTCTGGCTAGCTCCCCAGTGGGTCAGCTTCCTGGGATCCTGAGTAGCCTCACCTGGATCCTTTAGGTCATGGCCTTACTTGTTGGATCCTTTGTGCACTGTGGGTGAGAGAGCCCTGCTGCCCTGTTCATGGACTCTACCCATCTACAGCCTTGCAGGGCAGACTCAGACCCTTCTTAGCCTTCTCCTCCCTGTGAATGTGTGCTGTACGTTCTCAGCTATCGCTACAGTTCCAAGACTGAGGGACAAGGGATGGAGTTTCTGTTGCCAATCTTCCCCTGGAGGATAAAAACAAGAGTGATTGCCATGGCCCATGCTCCTTTCCCTGAGCAACTGTGGTTAAACACCTTGCCCAGGCAAGCAGTTGAGGTCTACAAAATCAGCCTCTCCTGACTTTCTTTTTCTCCTTGTAAATTTGCTTATATGATAATATGGTGACCTGCATGACAAAATGAGCACAGAACTCTGGATCTGCTCTGCTCTCACTGACTGTGCGACCCTGAGCATATTACTCTGTGCCTCAGTTTCCCTATCTGTTGAATTAGATTATGTGGTGCCTCCCTCATAGGGCTGTTGTTAGGATCGAGTCAGTTAAGGAGTTCTTGTGCTTGGAGTGGTGCCTGAGAGGGGGTGAGAATGGATCATAAAAAGTTAGGGATGAAGGCATCTAAGAGGATCCTGAGTCCCAGGGAGGGAAGGAGCTGGCCCAAGGCTTATCCCACAAAGGAAAAGTGAGCATTTCAGTATCCTTTCCTAGCTGGGGAGACTCCTTTATTCTCTCCTCTGAGAAACATTTAACAGGTAGAATGTTCATTCAATCTGGTCTGCAATATAGGGAAGAGACAATAAAAATAGGCTGAAGTCCCAGGACAGAGAAAAGCCTCCACTGGCCCCTTCCCCAAACACATACCCCACAGCACAGAGAAGCAGGGGCCCATGTATCCCTTTCTGGCATTTCCTCTAAAATGTGTTTTTGGGAAAAACTAAAACAAATCAAGCATTTCTTGTCAATAGTTGATTGAAATCCTAAAAACAAATGTGAGAGAAATAATATTCCTATTTTATAGGTGAAGAAACTGAGGTTTATGGGGTTACAAAGATTCAAGGTAGGTTGAGGGGCCAAACCCAAAGTGCTGACTCCAACCCTTTGACTTCTACTGACTTACAGCTTCATTCTTTACAAAGCAAGCCTTCTCCCATAACACATGTGGCCATTCCAGAGGTAGTAGGGTCCCATCTCTCTTGTGAAATTACAATTGATGTGAATTATGATCTATCCTGTCAATAAAAAAGAGCAACAAGACTTTTTTCCACTTGTTTGCTCCATAAGTGGTTACATAAGCAGCTTATGTGCTGTAACATCTGAGATCTTTTTTTTTTTTTTTCATTTTTCTTTTATTATTCATATGTGCATACAAGGCTTGGTTTATTTCTCCCCCCTGCCCCCACCCCCTCCCTTACCACCCACTCCACCCCCTCCCGCTCCCCCACTCAATACCCAGCAGAAACTATTTTGCCCTTATCTCTAATTTTGTTGTAGAGAGAGTATAAGCAATAATAGGAAGGAACAAGGGGTTTTGCTGGTTGAGATAAGGATAGCTATACAGGGCATTGACTCACATTGATTTCCTGTGCGTGGGTGTTACCTTCTAGGTTAATTCTTTTTAATCTAACCTTTTCTCTAGTTCCTGGCCCCCTTTTCCTATTGGCCTCAGTTGCTTTAAGGTATCTGCTTTAGTTTCTCTGCATTAAGGGCAACAAATGCTAGCTAGTTTTTTAGGTGTCTTACCTATCCTCACCCCTCCCTTGTGTGCTCTCGCTTTTATCATGTGCTCATAGTCCAATCCCCTTGTTGTGTTTGCCCTTGATCTAATGTCCACATATGAGGGAGAACATACGATTTTTGGTCTTTTGAGCCAGGCTAACCTCACTCAGAATGATGTTCTCCAATTCCATCCATTTACCAGCGAATGATAACATTTCGTTCTTCTTCATGGCTGCATAGAATTCCATTGTGTATAGATACCACATTTTCTTAATCCATTCGTCAGTGCTGGGGCATCTTGGCTGTTTCCATAACTTGGCTATTGTGAATAGTGCCGCAATAAACATGGATGTGCAGGTGCCTCTGGAGTAACAGTCTTTTGGGTATATCCCCAAGAGTGGTATTGCTGGATCAAATGGTAGATCGATGTCCAGCTTCTTAAGTAGCCTCCAAATTTTTTTCCAGAGTGGTTGTACTAGTCTACATTCCCACCAACAGTGTAAGAGGGTTCCTTTTTCCCCGCATCCTCGCCAACACCTGTTGTTGGTGGTGTTGCTGATGATGGCTATTCTAACAGGGGTGAGGTGGAATCTTAGTGTGGTTTTAATTTGCATTTCCTTTATTGCTAGAGATGGTGAGCATTTTTTCATGTGTTTTATCAGCCTCTTCAACAAAAACTGCTGGGAAAACTGGTTAGCAGTCTGCAAAAAACTGAAACTAGATCCATGTATATCACCCTATACCAAGATTAACTCAAAATGGATCAAGGATCTTAATATCAGACCCCAAACTCTTAAGTTGATACAAGAAAGAGTAGGAAATACTCTGGAGTTAGTAGGTATAGGTAAGAACTTTCTCAATGAAACCCCAGCAGCACAGCAACTAAGAGATAGCATAGATAAATGGGACCTCATAAAACTAAAAAGCTTCTGTTCATCAAAAGAAATGGTCTCTAAACTGAAGAGAACACCCACAGAGTGGGAGAAAATATTTGCCAATTATACATCAGACAAAGGACTGATAACCAGAATATACAGGGAACTTAAAAAAACTAAATTCTCCCAAAACTAATGAACCAATAAAGAAATGGGCACGTGAACTAAACAGAACTTTCTCAAAAGAAGAAATTCAAATGGCCAGAAAACACATCTGAGATCTTATAAGGAAGGATTTGTTAAGAAGTAGGTGATGCTAGTGAGCTGTCTTCAGGAGCACCCCTTGAGCAAGCTGGCCTCATTACCTTCCTGGTGCCGGGGAGAAAGTCTGGAAAGAAACCAGAAAGAGGAGGAATTGGCACACTAGCCACAGCATTTCTATTCCCACAAAGCACTAGCATCTGATACTCATGAAGATGAGTAGCTCCTGCTTCCCACCCTACCAGCCACAGCACCCAGCATTGCACTGACCACAAGCCTAGAACCTGCCACCCTTAGGAGAAGAGCCAAACACTACACATCCCACACACTTTCTTTATCTATATAATAGTCCTTATTTGGAGGATTTAATTAATTAATATACCTAGCACCGAAAACAATGACAGTTGAAATTGTTCAGAAAATGTCACTTCTCATTATTTCCTTCTTCATATTACCAAAGAGGAATCATTGGTTAATGATTTTTTTTCCCCAAGATCACACAGCTACTAAGAGAAAGAGAGTGGATTTGAAGCCAGGTTTGTCTGGCCCATTGCCCATTGTGATGGCTAATCATGACTGTCAGCTTGATTGGATTGAGAAGTGCCTTGGGAGATTAGTAAAGCACACCTCTCTGGGTGTGTCTGGGAGGGCACTTGATTAACTAAAGGGAAGACCCATCCTGAATGTGGGTAGCACCATTCCATAGGCTGGGGGCC